TCAATTCTGTTCTGCATGCCTATTCTTGCCCTGCTCTCAACTCTGTCTGATAAACCAGTGGTTTTCAAATACTTTTAGCAATGGACTCCATTCTTGAAACAGCATTTTATACAGAAGCCCAGAACACAAGCCATGAGGGAGAGAGAGGGAGAGGGAGAGGGAGAGGGAGAGCGAGAGCGAGAGCGAGAGCGAGAGGGAGAGGGAGAGGGAGAGGGAGAGGAAAAAACCCAAGAGTGGTAGGGCACAGAACAGAACCCTTTATCATGAAGGTGTGTGGGGTGCAAACCTGTGGCAGAAGCACCCAGTGCTCTCCTTACTTCTTGAGAAAAACACTGCAGAGCAAGCTCATCTATTATCTGCTACTCTGGCTCCATCCAGAGCACATCTTCTTTTGAGCTAGAGAAAATTAGGAAGAACTACTATGGTTCAAACCATTTAAGCAAGATGAATTTGGGGTCCAGTCATGTGACCCTGAAAACTACTTAAGCTCTCTGGGCTCTGCTTGGTCTCCGGTCAATGTGTTTACCTAATTGCACTATACATATTTCAACCTGCTGCATTTTACAAAGCATTTTCACATACTACTGTGAATGTGATTCTTGTAATAACTCTGAAACAAGGGCAAGTACCTTCATTTTATACAACAGGAAACTGAGGCTCAGTGGGTAAGTGACATGCTCATGATGGCAGCTAGAAAGGAATGTATGTGGGACTAAACCGTCAACTCCTGATTCCAACCAAATGCTTTTCTTACCACACTTCTTGCTCTTCCTGGTTACAACAGCATTAAAATGGCTACCACTTTAAAATTCTCTGTCACTGTCACAACTCATGTGACGCTGATGTCATTTATAGGTTGCGGAATAGGGAGAAGCACATGTGTAATTGTTCCCTCATACAAATCTTGTATTTTTAAGTTTTTGTTTTCTTAAATGTTTAGATCTTGAGTGCTAACTAACAAAGATGCCAATTATTATGCTAATAAAGATGAAAAACTAGATCTTGGTTCTGGTGGAAGTATTCATATATATGAAAGCATCCAGAAATTTACATTCTGCAATTAAATGAAAGTCACTGCAAATTGTCACTTTACTGGAAAAAAAGATGAAACCACAACACCACAGATTAACAAAGGTGGTGTTGGATGTGACCCCTTCTAAGAAAGTCCTCTGGCTTGCATCCTTCACCTTTAAGTATGGCCTAAACTTCTCCCTCCTTTTCATTTTACTCTCACCCATACATTATGCAGGGCAACCTGTGTCACAGCTCAGTGAGCGTGATAGATACAAAGAATGAGATGGGGGGGGTGTGGGGGGAGAAGAAAGAGAGAAAAGAGAAGAGAGAGAGAGCATTTGCACTCTTCTTACTGGAATCCCTGAGGTGTCAGCAAACTGTGGGAAGGGTGCCTGATACCCCTATCTGACGGCAGGTAAAACTTTGAGATGGACTGACCAGGAGCCACATTACTGTGCCCTGCTGCTCCACAGTTCTCCACATGAAATTTAAAGTAAGCAGAAAATAGGGTCCCCATCACCCCATCTTGTTACGTCATAGTGCTGGGCACTGACCTGCTTTGCCCACTTCCCCTTTCCTCAGTGATCCTTCAGCCTGGCACCCAGCTCTGAGATGAGGCCTGCTTAGCACCTGTGAAGTTCCCCACATTCAAACCAACAACATTCTGTGTGGAGATGAGGGAATCAAAGTTAAAATCCAACCCATCTGCATCCATGAGTTCACTTCGGATAATGGACTCCATGTCACATTCCAAGCTCCCATTGAACATGTCCAGGTCCAAGTCGCTGGGGAACTTCTCATGGCCCATGACGGGAAGGTTTGCACTAGCTGAGTACAAGGAAGAGCCTGAGAGGGAGTCCGAGAGGGTTTGCATAGACTGGCTGACAAGAGACTGCTGCTGGTGTTTGGCTGACCCGAGGCTGCTGGAGTCACTCAAGCCCATGTTGCTGACAGAATTCGACAAGGCACGGCTGCCACCTAGAGCGCCCTGGGTTTGGTGCTGGTGGTGGAGCAAGTTCTGATTGACCAAACTCCCCTGATTAGGCTGGGCAGCAAAGGACATCATTGGGTCATTGCGAAGCATCACATTCCGGCGGGAGTTCTGGGCAGACACAGCAGTGCTGGCCTGGGACATCAAGGGATCTGACTGAGTCATCATGACATCGCTGTGGCTGAGCGAGTCAGAAGTGAGCAGGTCTTGGAGTGTCTGGTTGCCATAGTGTGACATGGAAGAGAAGGTGGCTGGCTTGTTCTCTTGGATGGTCTGCATGGGAGACTGGCGCAAGGAGTTCAGAGACGAGGGTCCAAACACTGTGCTGTTAAAGGAGCTGGTTGGAGAGCCTAGGCCAGAGCCCTTGGTGGTGTATGGGAAGCTGGAGCTGCGCTGCATGAGCGCCCCAGTGGGCGATGGCTGGGATGACTGCAGCGTGATGTTATCCAACAGGTCATCCATGAGGTTATCAGCCAGCCCATCATTCAGATTCATGGTGCCTGCCATGTCAGTCAGCCGTGGCAGCTCCACGGTGCATGGCTTGCTTACAGAGGGTGACAGGCTGGCTGAGCTGCTGTAGAGCATTGGGGAGAGCGGTGCATCGTCATCTTGGACATCATCCAGCTCTGTGGTTGCCAGGATGGGTGACAGACGGCCGCTCACTGTGCTGGCATTGGAATTGGTACGTGAACGGAAGTCCGTCCACGCATCAAGCTCGTCGCTGCTGCGTGAGGTGGGGCTGCCAGGCCACTTAGAGAGCTGGGAAGGACTGTCATCTGCAGACTCTGGGGCAGTCTGCAAGGCCGCCTTCTTCTTGGCTGCTCGGCCACGGCTCTTGGTATACTTGTTGCTGTTGTCCATGGAGACGGCCCGCCGCCGGGGAGCCTTGCCACTCTTGCCCCCATCAGGATTGATGATCCACCATGAGCTCTTGCCAGTCCCCTCATTCTGGACCCTCATGAATCGACTGTGCAGAGACAAGTTATGCCGGATAGAGTTCTGCAGAAAGAAAAGGGAAAATTCACGATACGAACCAGAATGGTCCAAACCACCCTCCTCCAATTTCTGAGGCAAAAGATAACTAAAAGATAAACATTAGCGCACTCCTTCTTGACTCACAATAAAATGACAACATGTTACAATAGAAGGTGTTATGTGTAGGAGGTGGGCAGACGGTTTCATATCCAGGAGATGTTAGGAACATATAAGCGCAATAACATCGTTTTCCCCAAATTCCTAAGTTTTATTGTTCTTTTTCTAATTATATGTCCTACATTACAGTTCATACTTGTACTTTATTACCCACTACTCCCCCCCCCTGCACTTTGCAACAAACATCCCTGAGTCACTGAGGATAATTCATTACCTGGGTCTCTTCCCCCATGAGCACGGAGGCAACATTTATCTTTTCTTAACCATTTCTATGGAGACAGAAATTATATAACTTTTTTTTTTTGGTACTGGGGATCGAACTTGGGTCCTTGTGCTTACACAGCAGGCGGCAAAACCACTGAGCTAAATCCCCGGCCCCAGAAATTATATAACTTTTATCTATCCTTTCTGTGACTCCATCATGACCCAATTTCACACCTTATTCTATAACATCTGGCAGACATAAGAATAGTAGAACATGATTTTCTACGTTGATAAAAGAAGTAGGCAAGCCTCCTGTGTAGGAGAATTCAAATAATTTATATAGATACTCTTCCCTCAATGCAGAGTAGCTTCCTTGCATAGAGTACAGTACGAAAAGGGGGAGGAAAAGTACTGGTGGAGAAATGTGACAGACAATATCTCAGCCAGGTGACCAAGGTCAGTATCAGGAGGTACAAGCCACGTTGACAGTATATGCTCTTGATACAACGTGGTGAAAATGGCACTTCTGTAGTTTTCTTTCTCAAACCATAATCCCAGTCAAATCATGAGAAAAACATCACACAAATCTCAATTAAGGGCCATTTACAAAATGCCTACTCTGTTTTCCTTAAAACTGAGACAGCCAAGAAGAACCCCAAAGACATGACAGCTAAAGACAGTGGAATACTCAGTGGAACAATATTGGAACACACAAAGAGTATTAGGCAAAGATGAGGACAGTGTGACTAACACAGGGACTTTAACTCATAATAATGTACCATAATTAGCTCATCTGTTGTGACACACGTACCACACTATATGATGTTAACAACAGGAAATTTAATGCTGAGTACACGGAAACTCCATACTGTCTTCTTATAACTTTTCTGTATATCTAAAACTATTCTAAAAATAAATGATGTTTTAAAAGTAAGGCAAATACCCTCAAAACCCTAATGACTACTGTACCCACCTTGCAAGAATTTTCCTCCTAGCTTAGTAGATACACCCAGTTGATAGGGATGACCCAGATTCAGCCCTATCTCTGTCAATAACCTACCATATGACCCTGAACAAATAATCTAATCTGTCTGCAACAACTGTAGCTTTCCATTTTCATTATGGCCTTAATAATATCCAAGTGCCCTCCCTGTTAGGAATGACATAACCATGCTAGACAATAATATACTCCAAAACGAGTCATGCTATGAAGTCAAGGTGTTTATGTTGCTTTTATAAAGTGCAGAGGCTGTGGTGAAGACAGCTCATGGCCTGGGACAGATTCATTCTAATCTATAAAATGTCTCATGTATAGTACAGAAGAGGAGTGGATGGTATTCTCCACCTCTGGAGCAGCACCTGCAGGCCAGATCAGTTTTCATTTGGAAGTTAAAGATAAAAGGTATTGCCTGATACTATAAATATGAACAATCTTAAAAGTTACCATATTTTTTTAAAAACTGGGAATCATTAACTATATTTATGTAAAAGATACAAATACATGTGTTCTACCAGAATGATTTTAAAATACAGAGTCAGTAGGATTTTTACCACAAGCAAATACCCGACTTTGATCCCCGGTACCAAAAAAAGAAAAAACAAACACCCCAAAATATTCAGCCTCTGCCGTGTATGTTCCCTTGCAAAAAGGGATGGCAGTTCAGGCTGGGCAAAGAACATCAGCAATCCTAGGTCATAAGTCGCCATTTCTACAACTACAGTACCATCAAAAGACATGTGAAGGGCCGGGGATTTAGCTCAGTGGTTTTGCCGCCTGTTGCGCAAGCATAAGCTCCCAAGTTCGATCCCCGGTACCCGCCCCCCCCAAAAAAAGACATTTAGGAGAAGCCAAATAGGCAACAAGCTGCGCATCTGATGGAACAAATGTTGCCCAGAAGACTATATTCTGCTTCTTTTTTACTCTTACAGTTTTTGGAAAAGAATAATGGTATATCTACTAATGGTTCAGAAATCACATTTCTTTAAAAAGTAAAACAATGGGCTGGGGATTTAGCTCAGTGGTTTCACCGCCTGCTGCGCAAGCGCAAGGACCCGAGTTCGATCCCCGGTACCAATAAATAAATAAATAAATAAATAAATAAATAAATAAATAGTGATAGAATGTAAATAAC